TGTTTGGAATCAAGGTGCCAGGATTTATTGCTGCATCATCCAAGTTGTTTCAGGTCCACTCTGAAGTTTCCACCGGCAGTGAGGATTTTGAAAACCTATTGGTGTTGGTCCACTGAGTTTTATCAAGTCTAATGGTATTGCAGCCACCTGCCAGACAATTAAAGAGGACTTCATAACTTCCTCTTCTGAGTAGCTTCATTGAGACACTGGATTTCATTTCCCATTAGGACTCGGTAATTGCCAAAAGTACTAAAAGCTTGTTAAACGACAGTTTTGTTATTGTGCTTGATTGGCCAAAAAATAGCCCTGATCTAAACGCCACAGAGAGTCCGTGGAGTATTGCCGAGAGGAAGATGACAAACAAGTGACAACGCTGAAAAGCCCAAGGCCACTGTTAGAGCAGCCTGAACTCAACAGTTCAGTAGAGTTACAGGCTGATTGCTGGATGGTGGCATAAAATACAGCCTCTCATCCAAGAGATGCCACAACTAATTACTGAATGCATTCAGGTCCCTTATATGTTTATCAAGTTAAGTTTATTAATATAGCACATTACAGGAAAGGGGCAATCAAAGAACTTTACACGATGAAAACAAAAAAAGAAAAAAAAAATGTTACATTGCTGTGGCAAAATCAAAGAAGGTGATATGAGGTTGAAATACAGAGTAGAATTAAAGATGTGGCAATTTTCATAAATCAAATCCATCTCTGAGCAGATTAATTTATAACCTTGATTTAAATGAACCAATTTTTGAACATTTTCACAATTTGCTGGAAGTTTGTTCCAGATTAAAGGAACATAAAAAACTGAATGCTGGTTCTGTACGTTTTGTTCTCATTCTGCAGAGCAGACTTCAACCCAAAGACCTCAGTGATCTGGATGGCTATAAAAAACAGTATCAAATCCTTAATGTAATTTGGTGGTAAGCCATTCAAAATAAATTAATCACCAAAATTATTTTAATCTTATTCTTTGGGTTTTCAAGAAATTGATGTAAGGACTTTAGAACCAGGGTGATGTGCTCCAGGGGTGAACTAGGGGTATAGCTAATAAGCAATTAGCAGTGATTGCTTTTTACACTGTCAATTAAACTTGGACGCCTTCGCCAGGTTTTATCAAATTTGGATTGAAACTAATTGTGGCCGTAAAATAATAGTGAACCGGCAGATATTGATGCACACAGAAGCAGCAGTTTTCCATGTCCTGAAAGATTTCAGACTCCTTCTTGGCTTTTTAGATAGGTTTGTTCATGTGTTCAGTATTCTTTCCCTGTATCTTTCTGCTTCATTGCTTATAACTTAATTCCAGAAAAATGTGCTTAGATTTTTTAGTTTTTAAGGATTACTTCGATTGTAACCGACAGTCAGTATGAATTTTATATCATTAGCAATACTATTCTTTTTTCTTCCTGAGAAATGTGTTGATGTTTTTAAAACACTTTTCCACCTTATATGCTTCAGAACTCAGCAGCTTTACATACATCCATGTCCTCAAATTACTGTGGCAGAATGTATTGATGAAACTACGCAATAACAAAGAACTGAAATATTAATGAAGAACTGTCTACATTCGATGAGAAAACCTTAAGATTAAATATTGAACATCTTTTCACACTGATGTAATTTAGCACTATACAAATAAAAACAGATTCGATTTGATTCATAAAAAAAATGTTAAAGCACAGATATTAATGAAGAGCTGACAACAGAGCAAATATTTTGAAGTTTCGATATTTGTGGCCCACTAAATTGTAGAGGGCCACACAGAGTTATGTTGGGCTGGATTTAGCCCATGGTCCTCGAGTTTGACATGTGCGGTTTACACCAACACAAAAAGGTCCATCCAAAAGCACCTAGGTTTTCAGAAACTGCAGTTGAGCCATTTCTAAAACAAAACGAATATGCTGTCAACATAGTCTTTGCTCTGATATGAACATGGAAGCAGATACTGTAAATGTTTCATTATCCTGCTTTTCTTTTTCCTTCTTTTTACTGTAGAGAAATCAAAAAGTTGCGTTGTGTCTGAGCATCGCATAGACGTGGAAGCACACATCCACGAGTCGCCGTCAGGCCTGCAATACTCAGAGAAACCTACCAGCTGTGCTTTTCATCAGGGTAGAGGGGATTCAGGGTGTGTTAGTTTACAACATGCAAGGACACAAAAATTGGCTGTCTGTTTCTGGTGTTGTGCAAAGCTCAGATCTTAAGTGTTGGCAAAGCTGTTCCTGTGTGTCTTCTTCCTCTTACAGCACTGAACATGTCTTTTGCACAGTTTCATTCTCCCCTTTGCTAAAATAGTTTATGTTCTATTTTCTTTGATTCCACTTCTGACAACAATCTCTCACCCACATCTGGTACATTTAACTCCAAACTGAATCTATGGGATGACAAACATGGTAATTTTTTACTTCTCTCTCCTGTTTTGTTTGCTCTATTTCAAGCTGTCCTCTTCATTGTCTTTGTCTCATGTTTGTGTTTCCCATTCCATCCCTGCTTTCCTGTCACATGCTCATCGCTTTCATTCTTAAAGGGGGGCTATTGTGCTCTGTTCTGTACTGCTCTGACCTTCCTGTTATTTTGCTGCATTTTTAGTACCTCAGTATCAGGTGCAGTGAGTGACAGTTATTGGTCTGGTGTCAGTGGTTCAGGCTCAGGCGTTACCTCTCTTTAAGGCTGATCTCATTTCCTGCACACTTCCTCTGGGGGGTTAACGGCTCGTGTACTTACACATATCCTGGCTAAGGTACATTGGAGGGGGGGGGACAAAATAGACTACGCAATAGCCTAGGCAGCAAACAAGTGGAAAATTATGTGTACTGCAATCCAAAGTTAGCTCTTTCTGAAATTAAATTGTGTGCAACAATATTCTTAACTTTTTTCTCAAATAAAATATTTTTATTTTTTAATTCAAGGGACAAATTGAAGACAAAAACAAATGCAATGAAAAATAAATCTATTTTTTAACATTTTGCACTGACAACAGATACAAGCAGTATTAAAATATCAGGTGCAGATTATGTCAAATATTTGCCTTTTTGTAATGTTGTTGTTTAGGATGTCATAGTTTTTCCAAGTATGCAGTGGTTCTCTTTGGTGCAGATTATTTTGTAATAAATATAAATCAATGTGTTGCCGTCATTTAGATGGTTTTGAAATTAGCTCCTACTTATGGGCATCCTAACAGCATGAAATAGGTAACTCTTCATGAGTAAATTCTGCATCAAATCACGTGTAGTACAATGTCTAAGATACTTTGATCAACCCCAAATTTAATTATTGTACTTTTTCTTTTGCTAATTCTTCAAAAAATAACTTGTGATCTATGAGAGTTTCTATCTCTTTGCAAAAAACTAAAATTTGGATGGCTAGCTTTCCCCAAATATTTGTCAAAATATCACATTATTGTGATCGTATTCCTGAGATAATAAATTGTATTATTTTGTCACTCCAAAAAAATTCAATGGAAAATAAATAATTGTTATGTACATGTTCACAAAGATCAGCAACTTAATTTTATTTACAGCCGAGTCTTTATAAGTGAGGATGAGTGTAATCTGTCTATAGTGTGCCCAAACATAAATTTTTGTAGTTCCATGAAAAGTACTTTTAGACTTTCTCCCAAATTTTTTTTACACCATACCAAAATGCAAAAATATAAAAATATATTCGGTGTAATGTTCGAACAAATAAACCATTGCTAATAAAGTGGAAGCTGAAAATGACTTGGCTGTTCGATTCACAAGCGATTTAAACCAACATGTAAAATTTTAATTTTCTTATGAAAACTTGGAACGATGTCGCACTATGTACTTGACATCCTCAAGATTTTTTTCTCTTCAAACATTGTAATGTATAAATTATACCTACAATATATAATTTGCACTATATATTTTCTGCCCCTACCTCTTTGATTTTCCTCTCTGGCAGACTTGCTGCGGGTAGCGAGCAGAGTGAGAGGAAGTGTGATAAACTGTGCATGGAACATACAGAAGGGGCCCTGTCTGGCTACAGTAGCCAGGGTTAGTAACCACAGACAAAGATGGAGAGAGGCAGATAGCAGGGGCCTAAAACTGCTTGCTACATTTGTGTGACAAGGCCAACCCCAGCTTGATGTTTTTGATACCCTACCCGGCTAAAAATGTTTCCCTGTGTGAAGATAACATATTTTTCTTGGGGCTTTCTGCCATTACGTAGGGCAGCTATTTAAAGTGCTTAACCAGGGGCAATTATTATGTAAATTTTTTTAAAAAAGAAAAGAAAATATTTTCTTAAAGCTTGCTACAAATGTATTTACAAGTAAATACTGTTTGGTTAATATTGCACAGCCTGCATATTGCAAAATTTTAGTGCAAAGACCCAAGAGCACTAATGCATGTATAGGTATCATGGCCATATTTGTTACATTATACACTTAAAAACTTTTGCCCCAGTATTTCAGTATACGAGATCAGAACAGTCTTTGCTTTTGTGAAATGTAAGACACTATACAATTGAAAACAGAAGTTTAAGTACACTGAATAAAAAAAAAAAAACTTTTTTTTTTTTTTTTTTGTAATTCTGACCTGAGGCAAAAGAAGTTGGATCTATTTTGACTTCATACGGTGGGGGAAAAAAAAGTATTTTTATTCATGTAGATAAACTTCTGGTTGTAACTGTATATGCATTCAGTTCCAGGTTATACAATAATCTTTTGTTTCTGCTTTGTTTTGGCCATCACATTGATTTGTGATGGCCAAAAATCAAAACTGACATGCAACCTTGAATAATTGTCCATCTATTTAAGAAACCTCCATGTCAAGAACTTTGAGTTATGCTTTTTCTGTGTTCATTTAGCATTCAGAATTTTCCTGCTCTGTCCTTATGTGACATTTGCAGTTGTTATCATGAGCTATGTTTTCACAAGTCCTCTGAGCAGGAAAGAAATCTCTTTGTACACCTTTATATTACATAGATTTTTCACAGAGCAATACAAAGTTCATTAATAATCCATGCTGCAATGATAAAAGTTAAACTCTTCACATTTTTATTGTTACAAGAGCCTGAGTTTAGGCATATTTCTCCTCTGAGCTATGCATATTGCATGAGCGCAGGTCCTTAATGCTGTTTTTGTTCCCCAGCGACCAACGTTAGACAACCTCCATTATAGTAGATGCAATCCAAGCTTATGATGTTACACTCTGACCTTAGCTTCTTGAATTAATGGAATCTTGAGTAAAAGGTTTGTCTTGTATAAACTGAGCCTTTAAAATGAGCTTCATGGGTTCAATTCTACACAAAAAGAAAAAAAAAATATATATATATATATAAAAAATAAATAAATGCATGTCTCAATTTTACAAATGCAAAGCTGTGCCTTTACTATACAAAACACCCAAAACCATGAGACCCATTTAACCACTTCTGCTCAGTGAGTAGCATGCTGTACAATTTAACATTGATACCACAGGACAGTGCTAAATCTTCAAACATACAAACACACAAAAAATATGTCCTTTCATCTTTTCTTCTGTTTTTCTTTCCCTATCAAGACATTCTCCTCTCTATCGGCGTCTTCCCTCTGCCTTTTTATGCAGGCTTGTTTTTTTAGATCTTCACTCCTCCGGAACAGGCTGCAGAAAGACAGACACAAAGAGAGAGGTATGAATGCAGGTATTAACAGATGTAATGATGTACTTTGTCTATCCATATGGTAACAGAAATATTTTTTTAGAAACATCAAAGGATTTAAGTATAACTGCAAATCCCATTACTCCCAATTCCAAGTTCAAAGACCAGCAGGATTTGCAGAGCAATACAAGTTATCAACACCAACTAGAATAAGAGGTGTGTGAAAAGTACAAATAAACCTTCCATATGCATGTTTATACATTTGCGTACAGTGGAATCATATTGAGTTTTTAGTTCAAAGTTAGTGAGAAGCCTTTCGTTTTCACACTTGGAATTCTAACTTCAGGGAATTTTTTTTATTTATTTTAGCTTTAAACTCAAAAATTTGAACTTCTGTGTAAAAGCAGAGTACATTATTACACTGCTTACTTCAACCAGACATGCAGCATTAATGGAAAACGCCTTCTTTGTTTTAAACATTTGATACAGCACAATGCATATTGAAAAAGTCAAACAGTTTTTATAAAGTATTTGTCATTGCAGTAACCCTGCATAACAAGTTATTTGGAGGTGGGTTGTTAGCTTCAGTGTGGTCAAAATTTTGCTAGCTTTGTTCTGACATTCAGAGTAGCGTCATTGCTGTTTTGGAATAAAACTCTGATAAATTCTTTTGTAAGTGAAAGAATAAAAATCTATTTCCATCTTTAACAAATTGCACTGGAATAATGAGAGTCATCAATTCCCCTCAGGGTATCTGTCTCTGAACTGGTCACATGATAAGTACCTCATATTTTCCCTACTCTGCATTTTTTACAAAAACAGAAACAAAAAAAGCTTAACCATTTTCTTTTTCCTTGAACTCTGTGAAAAGATAATGGCATTAGAAATTCTTAGAAGCTCACTCTGGGAACATTGCTCAACTGGAAAGTGTAAGCTCTACCCTGAAACAAGCCTGAATGTCTCTGTGAAATGAAAAGAGCCCCGTAAATCACCACTCTTTAATACTATGTCATTAAAAAAAAGAACTGACGCATAAATCACAGGTAGTCTGCATTATTACCAGGGGGTATGTGTGCTGTGCTCTGTCATATTACATTTCTTCCAACGTGTCAGTATGGCAGGCTTCACATCTGGATCAGCATTATTCTGACAGTGTGAATATTGAACAGAGTATGTTGCATCAGACACTATATGCAGTGCATTTAAAATATGTAAGGTGTACCTTGTGCCACGTACGGTAGCAAACTAAGCTTACATGAATACAAAAAAAATATTTGGTTATTTACACAAAATTCTAGATTGATTTAATTTATTTTACAATCACACACAACCTCAAGTCTTAATGCATACCAGAAAATGTCAAACTTGAAAAAACACTTGGCAAGAGGCTGATTTAAATGGACAAGAAATAGCATGGCATCAAACATATTTCCATATAAGCCAATCAAATTGTTGATGATACTGCTTTTTTTTAAATGTGTAAAATGGAACAGGTAATTGGGGGTATTAACTGGCATAAGCTCCAGTAGTCTGATGAGAAAAACTGTACCACCACAGCTTCCCCTATAAAGACGTCATGACCAAACGAGCCTGTAAAACAGAATATATTGTGGAAGTCATCAAACTTAAATAAAGCCAGATATTCAGGATTTATGCTTCGAACAGCAATTAGACAAAATTACCCACCAGACTGCCTTGCTCATGTTTCAGACAGTCAGACAGTTCAGCTATATCAGGGTGTGTCATCGAACTGCGAGCGCTCCAGCAGTGACTCACCGTGACAAATCTGAACGCTCGAAAACAAGAACAAACATTGTATTGTCTTTAAATTTCAGAACTTTAAAAGAGCATAGGCTTTTAAGATTCTAACCCATGTAATGTGTCTTCTGTGACTCTACAAAATAATAGAAGCAATATTCAGGACACTTGTCATGTGTGTCATCTGTATCAAGTCGTCCACTTTATAGTCACTCAACACTCTGAAGTCTCAATGCAGTTTCTGAATTGCATAGAATAATGTAGACAAAGTTAAGAGATCAAAGAAAACAAGAAAAATGACAAAACAACTCAGATTTCAGCCTTGTTCTGCCCGTTTCCCTTCCTTGTCTTTTTTGCCTTGCTGTTTTCACTACCTTGTCCTGCTATTCCATTTTCAACTCGTTTTTGCTGCCTCACTTTCTCTCCACCACCCCCTTCATTCTTCTGTCAGTCTGTCTGTCTCTCTCTCTCTCGCTTCCCTCATGAGCAGACAAGGAGAGACAGAGAGACTGTTGTTGTGCTTGCAGTCTGACACTATCAGCTCATAAATCCCTGTCAACAGCTTGTTCGCCTCCTCTCCACTCCTCCCCCCCATTTCTCCATTCCTTCCTCCCCTCAGTGGTGAAGGAGTGGAGGAACCCGGTGACCCACTGGTGGAGGCTCGTCTGGCACAGACAGACAGATCAACCTGCTCATTCTCCTTTGTATTTTTTTTTTTTTTTTATGTATCGCTGGCTATAAATAGTTTTAGTTAATTTGGGGACTTTTTGGGGGGGTTTCTGCCAGTTGGTCTGAACTATGAGACTCCAAATGTATCTTCAGGTCTATATTTTTATTACATTTCAATGACTCAGATTGAGTCACTGAGAGGACCGTAGCCTCCAGCTTCTGTATCTTGAGCTGGTTCAGTATGGATTTTCATGCGTATTGATGAGTCTCATCTTCTCCATGTGGTGTCTTGAACAAACGGGCTGTTCATTTCTCTAAAATGTACATATTATGCCTGTTTTTTGGGGGGTTTTTTGTTTGTTTTTTTGCTGACATGCAAGACTAAAGCTAGACAATTCACCCTCAAGGAGCTGGAAATCCAACCAATAATATTTTTGGGTCTTTGACATCAATCCAATTGTTTAAAATTAGGCATTTTCTTACATTGGATGAAATCCAATACTTAACTTAAAGCTGACAAAAGGGACGAAATCTGTGTGCTTGAAAATAAAATTGATGCAAAATAAAACATTTCAAAAGTACATCACTCACCAATATCATTCCAGACACGAAAGCTAACATGATGCTGTGACAACCTATGAGGTAAGACTTAAATTGTCATTTCATTCTAGACGTGTATGTTGCCCAACACAGCTACGGTCTTAAATAAACAGAGTCTTGTTCCACCTGAGGATGTTTTTAACCCTAGTCGTTTGCTTACTAGCAAACTAGGGTTTTTGCTGTTTGTTTTTTTATTTTTTATCTTCTTACTTCTTCTGATTCGTATTGTAAAATATCTGAATGTTACTCTTATACTCTCAAAACAAGAGTGTAAGTTGTTCTCCTGCTTGAAGGTAGCGCTGTTTTGAGCATAAATAACCATGGATGATTGCGCTGTTGGGAACTTTCTGTATTTATCTGGGTACACAGTCATCACCGCCTTCCCAAGGAAAGAAGCCACTGAGTGTACACATGTATAGGGGAAACTGTAATGCTCCACTTGTGAAAGTAAATCTGTTGGGTTTTTCTTTGCCACTCAAAAAATTCTGAATGTTACACTGGAGGATGGGACTCATCAAAATTAATTATTTTATTAAGAAAATGAGCCACTGGGTGTCACAAAAGTCACTTTTGTCAAAAAGGTGCTCATTACCTTAATTCCAAAACAATGTATACATATACATACATAGAATGGATGCTGAAGAACAAAAGACTAATAAGAGAGAATCCAAATGTGAGTGAAATCACTCTAAATTAGGTTAAAACTACAAATAAACTTATTTTGAATTTTGCTTTTTTATGTCTCTTTTCAATCCCTCTATTGTCTAGGGACGGGCGCTGCAAACATGGCTTAAAACTGTCAATACAATTAAAGTTTGTGTTTTTACTTCTCATGCACATTAAGATTTTCAACCATAGATTACTTTATATATGACACTTTATGACATAAAGAACACAAACCAAGTACAAGGTGAGTACTTGACTGACTCTGTGTGAAGCAAAGCCAGTTTATTTTAGTACATTAAAAAAATTGAGTAGCAGCACTCCCTTCATTTTGAGAGCTATGAAGAGGAGTTTAAATAATCACTAAAGTTGCCATTTTAGACTTAAACTAAAGTATGTTGGATTGCCAAACATCAAATTTAGTTTAAATCTAAATTTACACATTTCCACTGTAGCATTTCTAATCTGAGGTGAAAAACTTTTTTTTGTTGTTTCTTGACAATCTGATTTTTTTGTAAAAGTAATAAAAAACACAGTAGAAGAATGCACACCCCAAAGACTTTCCTGAATCTCACTTAATGTTTGTAACATGCTTTCTTAATATCCTTAATTGATGCTTGCTTTCTTAGCGTGAAAGTAACATTGTCATTTGCTCTGATAATAACAGTTTCTTTTATGTCCAATTACAAACACATAAAACAGTCATTTCTCCCCAATTATAAATGATATATTTCTACACACCCAGATCAGAAAGATTTCACACAGCTGTGGGCAAACATCAAAAACTTCTAAGACCGTAGGCAAAAAGACGGACGTTGTGTCTTCCCATTATTCCTCCACCTCTGTGTCTCCCTTTTTCCTGCCTCATCTCTCTTTCCCTCAGGCAATGTTTGCCGGCAGACAGTCACTGACATCGGTTTCCTGTTGTTAGGGGTAAACACCTGGTTAATGAGGTCACGCAACACACCAACAAGAAAGAAAAGATGCCACAGAGTCAAAATTCACAGCCCTCGCCCAGTGCATGAGGATATATACGAAAGACTCATAATCAGGTCGTGCAGCCACATACAGGAGGCACAGATACACAGTGGCAAACAGAGAGGCAAATCTTGCAAAGCAAGCGTCAACATGAATGCATACAAACACATACAAAGCTGCTCATGCATATGCTTGGCACAGACTGCTAAACAAGCATTGAGCCAACCAGTCTGTGTGAATCGCCGCACACAGGCTTGTTAAATTATAAAAACACACACAGCACAGTGCTGAGGTGAAAGAGAAAGAGTGAAAGTCATAACATGTTCTATTCTTTTACCATCCCTAAAATGTTTATCAGCCACAAATAGAAACCAACTCCAATGTCATGGTTTGTCGATATGCTGCATTTGAGAAATCTTGAAAAATGAACAGCGGAAGTTCACTCTGTGATGAAACGTAGAGCACAGAGCCATCTGTGACTGCAAAGGCCTCCGTCTCTGTGGGGGAACATTTCAAGCTGTACCTGTTCTTGTACTTGCTGTCCAAATAGCTGCCTTTGTTGCTAATGTTCTCAAAGTGTCAGGACAAGAATGTCGTCACAATTTCAGTTTCAGGCAAAACAGAGGGGCCAAAGGGGTGCGAGAGCATGCACGTGGCTGTCAGTAACAAAGACATGTCAACTCTGAATGATTAGCCGTGGAAACACGGAGTGAACCACTGTGCTTTTATGTGTGATAAGAAGACAGCGAGTTCATGTTATTTTTTTGCTTGCTCAACAACCATTTGATAAATGACTTGTACTTTTACTCTGACAGGTTTTGTTCGAGAACATAAGGTCAAAGCAGAGTTTCTGTTTAGCGAGAATCACTGACCAACCTCCAAGCATGATGTACAGTACATCACCCATGTACATGTATTGATAAAGCCTGTGTGGTTACCTGGGAAAACCTAAAGAAAACAGCAGCCCAAAAGGCAACAGAGGATCCTTACACGTCAACCATCTACATACTTGTTAATGTATATCCAAATAAAATTAATTTCTAAAATTTATTTGGTTTTATTATGTTCTAAAAACCTAACGCAGAAACCTTTTGTTTTTGTTCTTTTTTCAGTGAATAAAGTGGTATACAGCTGGCAAAGCCAATGTATTTCTGTTGATTAAAATATTTCCACCCTTGAGTTTTAACTGTAGCAGCATCCGAAACCTTATCGTTCGCAAACAAATCTTGGTAATAGATTTTGTGGTACAGGTATAAAACATGCTGCATGTATTCGGTACCAAGTTTAGTTTCACTGGCCATAGTTTCTTAAAAACAAGAAGTCCATAACATAGAACCTGTTTGGCAATGGAAAGTTTGAAAAAGCGACACATTGATCCCCAATTTAAAACACAATTTTTGAATAGATAAGAATGACTTTAATGAATTTTCAGTCAGGACAGTAAGTCAAAGACATTGCTAAAACTTTCACACAAACACATAAAATCTGTAAGGAATTAAATTTTTTCCTGCACTTTATCAATACCAGAGTAGTAGATATACTGTAGATGAGGTAAGGTGTCTTTGTATTTTGAACATGACATGAGAATCGCATTACTTTAGTAATAAGTGCTCCTAATTTCACATCTTACGAAGTAACAGCAGAATAAATGTCAAACATGGCTGAGACAGAACATGACAGATCAGCTGCTTTACTCTTTCGCCAGAAATATCACTTCAATGCATAAGTTCAAATATGCTTCTTGTAGCAATCTATTTTAAACCTAAGACAATTACTATAGTTATCAAGGAAGCACTTTTTACATGCGCACAATTAAAAAAAAGCAATACTGAAATAGTTAAGTCTCGACTCATATAGACTCTCGTGCTCGAGCTCAAGCTGTCGTTTTACATAAAACTGAGAACCCTTCATTCATTGATTGTGTCATGAGTCATGATTTGTGTCATGTTTGGAAAAGTAGAAAAATGTAAGTCATATTGTGAAAATAGGTGTATTGTGTAATTTGAAAAAAGTACAGGTCCTGTCCACTTCAACATGAATATTGCCTAATATAAAACTTAAATGGAAAATTTTCTGAGCCATTTGAATCTTCTAACCATCAACAAGTAAAGGTTTGGTGACATGAACTCAGAATCGTGTTTGTAATTTAGTTTCAACTTTGTTTGAAAAATAGACATTGACTGATCCTTCATTTCTGTGCTAGAAGCCACAATAACTATGGAGACATTTTGGTTCTAGTGTTCTGAGTCTGTTTCAATTAAACTTCAAATGTCAGCAGGAGTGTCAAATAAAACACAAAACAACCCCCACACCCCCAAAAATAAAAAAATAACAAATTGATATCAAAGGATACAAAGCTAAAAAATTCTTACAAAAGTTAAAAAGACATACTTGCCAACAAATCTAATTGTGTTATGTCTGTTCAGTGACTATTTAGAAAAATATTAAATTTCAGCTTTTTGTTTCTTTTTTCTAATATACTTAGAAGTAATGCAACCTACATTTTGTAGATTTAATGTAACTGTATAGAATTGATAAAACAAATTTCCAATGCAAGACAAATTAAGTAAGCCAAAAAGAACGAAGCTTCAACAATGATATTGAACACCAACACCTAACAATATTAGTGTTTTTTTAACCTAACAAATCATGTTCAGTCAACTTAGTCATAGGGATCTGTGTGATAATTTTACTTAATCATCAGAATTGTTTCTAGTACACAATGTCAAATATTAAAAATCATAAGAGGAATTTGAATATGACCATAAAGTAGATAATGCCCTGCTTAATTAGTTATATTGTAAACAAATTGACTATTTAAACACAATTTTAAATTAGTCCATTTAAATTAGGCTTATTTTAAAGCCTGTTCATAAGGCTTTTAAATAATACATTGTTTTCTTAGTTCAGACTGAGAGTTCATCCCCACACTTTATATATCAAAGACTGATAACAACTTCATAATTAATTCTTCCTTGTTTTCTCTGTCAAAACATTCTCTCAGAGGCACCAGGACTATGTGATTCACTGAAGAAGGAAATTTCACAAGTTATTCCTGGACAACAAGAAGCAGCCTGTATGGCATGTGTCATACAAGTGACAGGGAAGCCCGTGATGAATCATCAGCCCTGTTAGACAAATGGTCTTTCAGTTGCTTCAGTCAGAGTTTGATTGTCAGAAGGACAATCTTTTCTAATTGTTTTTAACAGAATTGTCCTGGTTGTGTTTTTTGATGTCTTGCCGCTTCTGTGTTTGACTGAGTGTGGTCCATGCATTTATTTGCTTTTGCAAGGGAAGTGGCTGACAGTGAAAAATTAGACCAATTTTAATTTTAATTGCCAGTGAACAAATGGCCCAAAGTATTTATGAGTTTTGACCAGAGGGACAGAGGAGAAAGCTTTAAGCATGAGACCGTTTTCCTCATCACAGTTTTGAAAAAGTGCCACAACATGACTGGAACCCCTTTGAAGTTAGATGAGTAATATTGTTGGAGATCAACCAAAGCTTTGAATGATGAAAACAGAATAGGCAAAAATGAAATTAGTTAACAGAGCCAAAGGTAATACTTTTTTTTCTGTCTTTTTACTATGAAAATAGCCTTGTGCAACATTTTCTTTTAGCTTTCTACATGTAATTGCTAAACAAGAGAAAATCCAACCATAGGACATGGTGGAAGGTGCAAAAGAATGAAAAATAATTGAATTACACTTTTTTTGTGTGTGTGTATTTTAAGCCTGATTGTCAGACAAGGAAAAACAGGAACAGCTGTGAAGAAAAGCTTTATATTTATATGAAAAACACAATATAAATGAGCTCAATTTTGTATCGTGCCCTTGTATTTTTGTTTATGTTTAAATAATGACCAGCAGAGCATATGCTAATCATACTGTATACCATGTCTCACTACACCATTTATGAGTGGCTTCAAGAGATCATTAACGGAATTGCTAATAAGAAAAAAAAAAAGCATTTGACTTTTTATCAATACAGACAGAGTGTTTGCATGTATTAGCATGTCAATAATTACCTCTAAAATTGGGTCAATGTATAGACATTTGAATATACTGTATACACTCAGGAGCACTGGTGCCAATGTGCTATTTTTCCAGCATAACTGTTAGTAATAGAAAGATGAAAAGCATATCAATAATTTACCATTTTATCTTAAAAATGCAGGACAATATGATGACCACACACAACTAATATGCAAACACTAGGTTCATTAATAAATTCAAAACAAAAAAGGCAAAATTTCCCACATTGCAAAACACAAAAAGGGCATTCAGTCAGTCTTTACTTAGTGACATACAAACCCATGGGAAGGTACAGAGCTGAGACCTGTGTAATTAGAGAGAAAGGAGGAGACAGACAGATAGAAAGAGCTTAACCCGAGGCACAGCAACAGGAAGAGAGACAGGGGGAAGGAGAGGTGACAAGGTTGAGAAAAATCTTCCCAACCTGAGAGAGACAGGAAGCAGAGAACAAGAGAAGTAAGAGGCAAGTTGAGGATTAATGTGATGTACTTTATTTATGCAATTATCTGAGAGCGTGCAGAAGCAATGAGTGATAAGAACATAGGCTAAAAAAAATGCTTTATAGCAAGAAAGGGGATAAAATGAAATGAAAAAGAAAGAAAAGAACAAAGCAGCAGAATGGGTTATGTGCATACATTTCTGAAAATAAGAAAATAAAGTGGCATCATAACTCACCCTCAACTTCTGTATAGATGTCACTGAATCTCAGTCTGCCTCACCTGAAGGAAAGAGAAGCCTGTTTACATTCTCAGATCACATGCACCGGTTTATGTTTTTGCTCTCAGGTTAAAAACGAAAGCTCACCCTGTGCCACAGGAAATGTTTATTTCTCCTTTGCACAATATGCATGTGACAAAACGTCAAAACTTTATTAAAGTCAAGTCCAGTGATGAATGCTGTGCCTCTGAGATAAATAAGGGTCACCGTACCTTTCCAACACTCTGTATGTTTTATTTATGTGAAGTCCCCAGCAACAATAATGCTCCCTTTTAGGTCAAGCAAATGTCATGTGCACAACTGTTTCCCTTGGTAGGTTGGTGTGATTGTGTGGTGGAGGGTCGGCAAGCGCGTGTGTGTATACGTGCAGGCCGAGTGATGACACTGACCTTAAAAACTCCACCTGTTATTGCTGAAATGCACCACATTTCTGGCCAAGATACATTTCAATTTGACAACTCTGCAGAAGCAGAGTATCTGTAGTATACCCAGATGGAACATATGCTTCAAATTTTGATTGTAGCTACCAATATTGTGCATCATATGGCCGGCAGCAATGTACTTGTCAGTAATAACTTACATGTGAAAGTTGAACCTGAACTTTGGATGAGGAAATGTGCACAGCGCTTTACAAAAGTATCTTCACGCTTTAGAGTTTTTTGCACATTATCTCACAACCACCAACGTCACTGTATTTTTAACATCTTTATTTTAAATCAAATACAATTTGTGTGTAATTTTGACATGAATAGACAGTTATTGCTCACAGTTTATAAAGTGAAAATCACAGTGTGCAATCGTATGCACTTTCCCGAGTCAATCACATTTTTCTGCAAATACAACTTTAGGTTTTTGGGTGTATATCTCAGCTTGCTTTAGACACTTAGATACTGATTTTCTTTTCTTGCTGTTTGCAAAGCAACAGGAAAGATGTTCAAAAGTATTATATATTTTTCAGTCACCACCGTTTCTATCATTTTCTTTAGGGGTATCAGAATAAATGGTGCAATGTCATCAAACTTTTCAAACTTTTCATTTGTAAAAATACCTTAAGACTATCATTTTCCCTCTCTAGACTTCTGTATAGGTCTGTCATGTACACTCCCAGCAGATCATATAATGTCATAAAGTTTGTGATTGTAGCATGACAAAATGCACATAAAATATGAACAATGAAAACATTAAATTTCAGCTTATCCCCTCTACTCTCTTAAATTATATCACTTTTTATTTCTTTTTTTTACAATTTCACCATCAAACTCAAAAAATCTAGAGCAGATGTAACATCAGAAAATCTTTGTTAACATAAAGTCACTGCAGTCAGGCTCACTTTCTTCCTGTTCTCTATTTAGCACTCGAACGCCCAAGAGCCCTTTGAGAAGATGCTGATACACAAATTCTCATGGGCTCGTTGGAGTGGACTGGAACCAACAAAAACTGCAAGCAAACATTGAGGCTGCTGCATCTGACGTGAACACAAACAACCTAAAAGCCCACATTCACACATCTATGTGTACAATTGCGAATGTGTCTGGGGTTAAGTGAGAAAAAGTGGAAGGGTTGGAATTAGAAGGCGAGCATATGCCTGCGTGTGCGTGTGTGTGCGTGTGTGCGTGTTCGGTTGCAACGACTGGAGGGCGTCTCAAAAGCGTTACAGCATTAGATTTATGAGGGCATTCACAGAAACACTGGCAATAAAACAAAGATCTTGGTTCCTGTCAAAAGTTCATATTAGGTCCTATTGTGGCAAGAGGGAGAGGAGGCAGAATACAAGCTTTGTGTGTGAGAACTGGGTGTAATAGAAGGAGGTGAGACAAGAGGTCAAGAGAAAAGACAACAAGCTGGAAAAAAAATGCCAGAGAGCAGAGGAAACAAACAGAAAACATTTTCAAAGAAGGGGAGAGAGAAAATATCTCTTGACAAGCAAAATGAGGAAAGGAGCCATGGGGAAAAAAATCTGAGCTACCAAGAGAAACAGTCAGCAGCTCTGCTCCCCCCTTCAGATTCTCCACCCCTTGGTTTTTAGTTGCCAAGTCAACACCACATTATGGGTCCCTGGGTTTTTTATAATGGCTGGGTGTGTTCTGATCCTGCAGTAAAGCCATCAACAGTCAAATTCCAGTCTTAATTAGTGGTGGGAACAAGAGTGAAAAAAAGGCAAATCAGCTGAGGAACAATTAAACATCGCAGAGGGGGAAAAAATGTATGTATTTTCAGGCAATATTTGAAATTGTGGGATGGGATTCTGATGCATCAAGCTCACAACATTGCCGCTTTTAAGGAATGCCACTTTTCAGCTCTCTCTTGTTTCGGTTAAAGCTGGGAAACAAAACTACAACTTAACAGTGCTTTCAATCTGTACTTGGTGGATGTCAGCAGTCATATCAGTGAAAGGCACTGTTTTTAAGTGGTTTCAGAATAAAACAGACTGAAAATCCTGCACAAAAAGAGTCATTTTGAGATGAAACCAAACAGTGAAGGGGAAGTTAGTGTGTTTATGGACTGTGGAAACTTTTTAAATAAAATAATCCATACATATGATAAACAGAGACATATTCCTACAGATCTATGCTTTGAAGGGAGGAAACTATTAATGTATAGTAAGTTAATTACAAAAGTCAGCCTAGTATGTGAAAGGTTTTATTTTACACATTTTAGTGTTTTACAGTGTTTTGAGTTATTAGTAAAGTTTCTGTTGACACATTAGCTGAAGCACATACGCAGAGGCAGTGACACGTTATAAAAATACAGTGTTAAAAAATATATATATATACATATTTTGTTGAATTGTGATTGTGGCAAAATAAAACAGCGTGGATTAAAACAATCTGAAGAATGATAGACCTGTACCAGCCATGGTAAAAAGCCATTATTATGTAAAGAAAACAATCTTTAGCAGCATTTTAACAGTTTCTACCAAGATTGCACTGTATTTGGCCTCTTCCTCTTTCTTGTCAACTCTGACCTCCTCAGGAAAGAGAAGCATATCATAACATTGCCACCACCACGTCAAGAAAAGATGTTACCAAAAAGCCAACAATCCTTTAAATCCTCAATGAAATATTATCTATCTTCATGCCCTACCACCACAAGGGAAGATACATGTTGACAAGTATAGGAAGACATTTTTGGTCTGCAGATGACGTGCTTGAGTCTTGTTAAAACCACACAACACCAAGAAGCAAAAAGGAAGAAGAAAACAATTCCAATACAGGATGCAAAAGCTGATTTAGTTTTTTTTTTCTTGTTATGGAGCAGCTGTTTGGCATTTTGCTTTATTTCACTGTGTGCTTTCTCTGTCAATGGGTAAAAGGTTCTGTGCCAGAAGCAGAAAGCTGCACACACTGTAAATCACACAAGACATATCATAGCTTTTGAGTTTGTAGAGCTGTCAGTTCAAAGGCAGACTCTTACATGTGGCAAAGTGATCTGGCAGTATAGAGTATCATATACAGCCTGGAACACAAAACCAGGGTTTGCCTCTCTGGATCTTGACATCAGCTGCAAGCACCAGTTTTATATTTTTAACATTCAGCCCAGTGCTTGGAACGACTGAACTTAGATCTGCTCTGGAAACATCATTTATATTTACTTTGTACTCATCCACCAGAGCCCTCTACCTTATAATTTCCAGGAATCAACTTTTACTGTAAAGCGGCTCCCTATGTCATGGTAGGAGTCAGATGTGCTGACCAGCTGCATCACCATGATGTCAACATAGTGGAATTCAAGTCTGTCCCTCGAGGAGAGAAAGGGTAAATTTATATGTGATTGACAAGTGTTGAGTGAGTTTTCTGAATACAGAATGCATGCTGACAGGAAGGAATAAAGCAGGGAGAGGTCTAATTGTGACGGATTGGCTTTACCTACTGAGCAATTACAGTGAGATTAATTGCTTACTTGTCACTTCATTGGACTGTTATTAGCCAAGAAAGCCGTCTCTGGAAAGCATTTTAATGTGAGCTAATTGACATAATTGTTCTGGAGATGACAGAAATCCTGTGGTATTACAGAACATTCACTTTTCCCTCAACGGGTAAATAATAAACTCAACAGTAATTGACAAAATGTTGCAACTCAGAGAAAGGATGCATCAGCAAGAGGTGACAGTCGGCAGGCAAAATTAAAAAAATAAAAAGGCAAAAAAGCGAAAAAAAAAAGAAAACGTGTGCATCTCTATGCAATGTGTGTGGCTCTGTATGTCTGAACAGCATGAAGTTGAGGTCATGGAAACTTAACTGTCTGTGTTATTGCCGAGGGATTAGCCTGGCCATGCCCTCACATTGGCTGGAATGCCTTTTCATCCCACAAACACACATGATGTGCACACTCAAGCAAACACAAGGTCAGGCGGGATAAGTAGAGCTGGGTCTGCATGACCTTGCAGCACTGTTTCTTTTAAGCATGGAAGATGTACAGTACCCTTAACAACTGTGGTTCCCTGGGTGAAAATACTGCATGAAAAAGCACAAAAATAAATAAAACTGTTGTTTCATCTGTATATTTTCAAAACAAACAAGCAAAAAAAAACTAATATTTGAAGATTTGTTCAGTTACCTTAAAAACGTCCGTTTTAGAAAATAATTGTTTTGAAATATAGCACCTGGGTCTACAGGTGGCAGTCCTGAAATGAATGTGAATGAAACATGTTTTCAATTTGAAATATTCAAGTGATCATATGTGTGTTTACTATCACATAGTAAACAGTAAGTTCCTCTGGGGTAAAAATCTGATGTGACACAGAGGCCAATTTATCCTTGAAGGTCTGCAAAATGGGGAAGACAAGCATACTGGCTATCAAGACAAAGTGTGTTGACCTTTATAGGTCAGAAATTTGCTACACAAACATTGCTACTCACCTAATCTTAACCCATGATATTTATATATTTATACAAAATAAAATCTGGAAAGCTTTCCAAGCATTCCATCTTTAATTTCCATCTGAAGATGGAAATTAAGCACAAGCAGAGACAAATTAGATGGAGCATGTCTGTGGAAAAAA